CCCCTCCCCCCTCCGTTTCCAATTCAAAAAGCGTGCACAGTAACCGTGTAATTTCTTATCCCTGTTGAAAATCCCAATGAAGCGTATTTTTCTTCTTTTTTTTTTTAATTTAATTTTTAAACAGCAAAGTTCCGGCTTTCTTGAACGTCGTGGACATCGCTGGATTGGTTAAGGGCGCGGCGGAGGGGCAAGGATTGGGGAACAGTTTCCTCTCGCACATCAACGCTTGCGACGGAATTTTTCATCTTTGTCGTAAGTTGATTTTAATAATTTTAATAATTTTTCTTCCTTTTCTTTTTTCTTTTTTTTTTTTTTCCTCCATAAATTACAACATATGATAAAATCTGACAACGTGTTAAGGGAAGAGGAGATGGAGCGATTAGTCCGTCATTATGTTCGTTCGTTCTTGTCTCGTATCGTCCAACGCGAAGCTATCACGAAGCTTGTCTCGCGACATGCGATAGTAAAACGTGAACACAGAGAGAGAGAGATAGAGAGTTGATTACTTTCAGAATTAGAGAAGAGGGAAATTTCTTCTTCTTCATGATGCGATTTTTCACGCAGGAGCGTTCGATGACGACGACGTTACTCACGTAGAGGGAGACGTGAACCCCGTGAGGGATCTCGAGATCATTAGCGAGGAGTTGCGGTTGAAGGACATCGAATTCTTGAACGGCCATCTCGAGAAATTGGAGAAACTTGTTGTTCGAGGAAACGACAAGAAGCTCAAGCCTGAATACGTGAGTAATCAAAGTGTATCTTCTAAATAATGGAAATAATTATTTCATATGAGAAGCAATTAGTTGAAAAACTCGAAGAAAATCTGCAAATCCGAAAATGGAGTCTGAACAAAATTTACGGGGGTGGTGGTACTTCCTAGAACGAATCAATCGAATTATCCACTTTCCGTGGATCGACCCATGGCAATTTCCGATCTTTTTCCCCTCCAGACTCGTTCGCAATTTGCTAAAAACTTTTCGACAGTTCGAAACCACCACCACCTCTTCGTCTTTCCAAATACATCCTCCGATCACGAAATTATTATTCCACTTCGTTAGAAAACACGTGATTCTTTCGCTCACATGAGTATGATGTTTAAACCATAGTGTATTGATCCTTCTTTGTGCAGGATACGTTGTTGAAAGTGAAAGGTGTGATGGTGGATGAAAAGAGGCACATCAGATTTGCCGATTGGAGTGCCACCGATGTGAGTTTAATTTCTACATTCCTTTATATTAGATTAATTAAATATTCCTCGATACCTTTTTCTCCATTTTCCAGATCGAGGTTTTGAACAAGTATTTATTCCTCACGTCGAAGCCGGTTATTTATTTGATCAATTTATCCGAAAAGGATTACGTGCGTAAAAAGAATAAATGGTAAACGGTTTATTACATTATTTCGTCTACTCTCAATATGCGATGATTAACGATGATTACGATTTTCAGGTTAATCAAAATCAAGGAATGGGTGGACAAGAACGATCCAGGGGCCATTCTGATCCCGTTCAGCGGCGTGTTTGAAAACAAGCTTCTCGACATGAACGAGGCGGAACGCGGGAAATACTTAGAAGAGAACAAGGTTACAAGGTGAATCAGAAATCAAAAACGAGAACGAGAATTTGTATCTTATGCTTGACACATAAATGAGAGGAATAAGTGTGGAAGAGGAGAGGAGAGGGGGGGGCGAACGTAAAAAAATTAAACGTTTCGCCTAACCCCCGAAAACCTGAAAACCCGAAGAAAGTCGGGTTCCCATATTTAGTTATGCACCGAGTTATCTACTAACGGTAATAACAAGCGAGGGGGCTTTAAGCGTCTAGACCAGCCCTACTTTCACATAGTGGGGTTACTAATAAAAACTGCGGCATCCTCGCTGCGGCGCATTATATTTTTACGAACGGCTATTCAAATTCTTGCAAAATTGCATAAAAACCCCTCCTACCCTCCCGGGCACGCACACCGGTATAACAAGGGAGGAGGCGAGTGGAATGAGGATCAACCGGTTCAGTTGGCTAGTGGGTCATTGGCGGGATAAGCTTAAAAGCTTGTATGTTGTTCGTGTGCACGTGCATGATAAACTCGATCGAGTATATTTAATAGTGTAAATCATTTTTTCAACATCGTCGCGCGTTGAAAAGAAGAGAAATGATAACGAACGCGGGGGAGGAGGAGGAGGAGGAGGGGGAGAGGAACGAAAGGAAACGTTTGATCGTGTTATTTGCGGTGAAAGATATTAAGTGATGGTGTTCCTTCTATTCAATGAATACTAGTCGTATAATCATGGTTTGGTAAATTGTAAATTTTTTTTTTGGTCCAAATTTTTGGACCGGTCCCTTGCCAAATCATCGTATACGACGAGGTTTCTCTTCTCGCAGGTAATCACAGGGGACAAACGGAAGATCTCTAGATACAGCGATTTTATTTCTAGACCGCAGATGATTCGGGGCGCCGAAGTAGGTCTCTCGGACAGAGTTAGAGTGATAAAATTGCGGTATTAAGTCGTTCAGCTTTATGTGTATTCTCTGAAGTCTGGAAGTTTGTCGGGCTCGCAGAATAGGATGGCTTCCCTTCTTATACCCTGTCATTAGACGATATTCGGTTCGGGACAATCATATTCCGTGGTCCTGGTTTTTTGGCCACCCCTTCTTTGAACCAAGAATCTATTTCCTTTCCCCTTTTTTTTTTCCTTTCTTTTCTTTTTTTATATTATAATGTTTAAAAAATTATCAACTTTAACGAAATCATTTTTCTCGTAGCGCCCTCGACAAGATCATCGTTCAAGGATACAAGGCACTGCAATTGCAATACTTCTTCACGGCGGGCCACGACGAAGTCAAGGCATGGACGATCCAGGTAACGATCGAAGCATTATAAACTTTTGTTGTTGTTTGGGAATCTCTCTTCCCTTTTTGTTCAAATATCATTGAATCATTTTTAGAGGGGTACGAAAGCACCACAGGCCGCGGGAAAGATTCACACGGATTTCGAGAAAGGATTTATCATGGCTGAAGTTATGAAATTT